ATTCTTCAGAGAACTAGAAAATAACTATTTTAAAATTCATATGGTACCAAAAAAGAGCCCAAATAGCCAAGGCAATCAAAAGAAAAAGAACAAAGCAGGAGGCATCACACTTCAAACTATACTACAGGGCTACAGTAACCAAAACAGCATGGTACTGATACAAAAACAGACATATAGACCAAAAGAACAGAACAAAGAGCCCAGAGGTAAGGTCACACACCTACAACCATCTGATCTTCAATGAAGCTAAGAAAAACAAGCAATTGGAAAAAGACTTCCTATTTCACAAGTGGTGCTTTGATAACTGGCTAGCCATATTCATATGATTTAAATCAGACCCCTTCCTTACACCATATTCAAAAATGAACTGAAGGTGGATTAAAGACTAAAATGTAAAACCCCAAATTATAAAAACCCTAGAAGACAAGGAAATACCATTCTGGACACAGGAATGAGCAAAGATTTCATTACAAACACACCAAAATCAATTTTTATAGTATATATTTTTAAAATATATATTATAATAATCGAAAACAAAAATGAGCAGTAGCCATTCTTATATAAGTTGAAAGTGACTTCAAACTGAAAACAGTAGAAAAACACAATCTATCCTAAATATGTATACATTCAACTCTGAAGCATCCAGATTCATGAAATAAATACCACTAGACATATGAGAAAACATTTGCTGCTATAGCAAATGTTATATACAGATATACAGTATCTTCCATACTGCCTAGATAACACCTGACAGGTCATCAAGGCAGAAAGTCATAAAGAAACTTCAGATATAAACTAGCCTCTAGATGAAATGGATCTAATGGGTATTTACAGTACATTATACACGACAACCACAGAGTATATATTTTTCTTATCTCTGCATGGAACATTCTGCAAAATCAACCATATGCCTGACCACAAAGCAAGTCTCAATAAATTCAAAAGCAAGTCTCAATAAATTCAAAAAATTGATGTTATATCAAGTATCTTCTCGGTCTATAAGAGAATAAATTTAGAAATCAATACCAAGAGGAATTCTCAAAATGATACAAGTACATGGAGACTAAAAAACTTGTCTTCAACGACTTTTGGGTAAACATTAAACAAAGGCATAAGTCAAAAACATATTTTGAAAACAATGAAAATAGAGACACAACTTACCAAAACTTCTAACATACAGCAAAAGCAGTGCTAAGAGGTAAGTGTAGTGGTAAATGTCTACATCAAAAAGACAGAAATTGGCCAGGTGTGGTGGCTCGTGGCTGTAATCCCAAACTGAGGGAGGTCAGGGTGGGTGGATCACAAGGTCAGGAGTTTGAGACCAGCCTGGCCAAGATGGCAAAACCCCATCTCCACTAAAAATACAAAAATTACCTGGGTGTGGTGGCGGGTGCCTGCAATCCCAGCTACTCGGGAGGCTGAGGAACGAGAATCTCTTGAACCCAGGATGCAGAATGTGCAGTGAGCTGAGATCGTGCCACTTCACTCTAGTCTGGGCAATAGAGCAAGAATCCATTTCAAAACAAAATGACAGAAACATCTCAAATTAACCACCTAATATCACACCTCTAAGAACTAGAAAAATAAGAACAAACAAGAATCAAACCCAAAGCTAGCAGAAGAAAAAATAAGAGACATTAGAGGAGAACCAAATGAGATTGACACTAAAACAACGATGCCAGAATCAAAGAAATTAAAAATGTGTTATTTGAAGGGTTAAACAAAATTATAGACTACTAGTTATATTAACCAAGAAAGAGAGAAAATTCAAATGAGCAAAATCAGAAATGACAAAGGCAACATTGCAACTGTTAGAACAGAACACAAAATATTACTATGAACATCTCCATGCACACAAAATAGAAAACCTAAAGAAAATGATTTAATTTTTGGAAATACACAAGTTTTCAAAATAGAACCAGAAATAAATAGAAATTCTAAACACACTAATAATAAGCAAGCACATTTAATCAGTAAAAGAGCAAGAACAAAGAAAATCCCAGGACGAGGTGGATTCACAGCCAAATTTTATGAGATGTACAAAGATCCAAAACAAACCTTCCTGAAACTATTTCATGATATTCTTCATTATAGGAAACAAGTGTCACCTTGATACCAAAAAAATGAAACCTAAAGGCCAATATCCCTGATGAACATGGATGCAAAAATTCTCAACAAAATACTACCAAACTGAAACCAAGAGCACATCGAAGAGATAATTTATCATGATCAAGTAGGTTTTAATGCAGGAATAAAGGATGTTTCAACATTCATAAATTAACAAATTTGATTCACCAAATAACCAAAATTTAAAGCAAAAACCATATGATCATCTCGAAAGAGACACAAAAGCATTTCATAAAATCCAACATTTCTTTCTTATAAAACGCTTAACATACTATGTATTGAAGACATATCTCAAAATAATAAGAGTCATACATAACAAACCCACAGCCAACATCTTCCTAATGGGAAGGAAATGGGAAAATGTTGAAAGCATTCCCCCTGTGAACTGGCAAAACACAAGAATGTCCACTGTCACCACTCTTATTTAACATAGAACTGGAAGTCCTCATCAGAAAACCCATGCAATAGAAAAAAACAAAAGCCATTCAAGTTGGAAAAGAGAAATTCAAATGATCAATTTTTTCTGATGACATGATTTTATACCTATCAAACTATAATGACTGCTTCAAAGGACTGCTAGACTTGACTGAAAAAAACATTTCAATAAAATTTGAAGATACAAAATCAGTGTAGAAAAATCAGTAGCATTTCTATACACCAATAATGTTGAAGCTAAAACCCAATTAATAACTCAGTCCCATTTGCAATAGACAAAAACAAAATAAAATATCTAGATATAAATAAAATTAAGCAGGTGAAAGATCTCTACAAGCAGAAATACAAAATACTGATAAAAAAAATCATGGATGAAACAAATAAAAAGATTACCATGCTCATGGATTGGGAGAATCAATATCATGAAAATGATCATACTGCCCAAAGCAAACTACTGATTCAATGCAATTCCTAACAAACTACCAACATCATTATTCAAATTACAAAAAAAAAAAAAAAATCTAAATTTCATAAAAAGGCAATCCTAAGCAAAAGAGCAAAGTCACAGGTATCACTTTACCTGACTTCAAATTATACTAACAGGCTATAGTAACTAAAACAACATGGTACTGGTACAACAGTAGACACGTGGATAAAATAGAGAACCTAGAAATAAAGCTACAAACATACAACCAACTGAACTTTGACAAAGTTAAAGAAAAACAAACAATGAGAAAAGGACACTGTAATCATTAAATGGTATTGAGAAAATTGGCTAGCCAAAGCAGAATAAATGAAACTAAACCCCTATCTCTTTCCGTTGGCAAAGTTAAATCAACATGGATTAAAGACCTACAAAGGAAGATCTGAAACTATGAATGTCCTAGAGGAAAACCTTGGGAAAACTCTTCTGGACATTGAGCTAGGTCAAGATATAATGATGAAGACGCCAAAAAGGAAATACAACAAAGACAGGTAAATGGGAATTAAACTAAAAAACTTATAGGCAGCAAGAGAAATAATCAACAGAAAATCTACAGAATGGGAAAAATATTTTCAAATTTAGGCTCCAAGAAAGGACTTTTATTTAGATTCTATAAGGAACTCAATCCAACAAGTAAACAAACAATCCTGTTAAAAACTAGGCAAAAGACATGAACAGACATTCATCAAATGAAGACATACAAGCAGCTCACAAATATACAGGGAACTGTTCTTAATACTCATCTGAAAAATGCAAATTAAAAATACATTGAGATATCATCTTGCACCAGTCAGAATGACTATTATTAAAATGTCAAAAAACAACAAATATCAGTGTGGATATAGAAAGAAGGCAAAATATGCATATACATACTAATATGCATATATATATATATACACTAAATGTACATACATATACTAAGCATATATGCTTATGGAATACTAAGCATCCACTAAAAAGAGTGAAATTATATCCTTTTCAGCAACATAGATGGAACTGGAGGATATTATTCTAAGTTAACTAACTTAGAAACACAACAAAATACCACATATTCTCATTTATAAGGGGAAGCTAAGCAATAGGTACACATGGACATAAACATGGAAATAGACATCAAGTACTTCAAAAGAGAGAAAGTTGGAGATGGGGCAAAGGTTACAACACTTCCTATTGGGTACAATGTTCACTATTTGAGTGATGTGTACACTAGAGGCCCAAACCTCACCAGTATGTAACGTGTCTATATAACAAACTTACACATGTGCCTATTTAATCTAAAATGATTTAAGATTTTAATAAGAAATAAAAATCAGAAAGTCTTTCTTTACTAATATCAATGCCGGTAATTCTTCACAGTTTCTGTCAGCTTGTTTTCTTCCTCATAATGAACGCTGTTTTCCTGTTTCTTTGTAGCTTTGTTATTGTTTTTATTGCACATTTGAAAAACAGCCACATTTCACAATCTATATTATTTCTGTGTCATGACAATAATCAGCTAATATGCTTGGCATATTCTTAGTCTCGGCGTCAGCTCTACATGAAAACTTAAGGTCTTCTCAGTTCTTTTCTGAATATGCATCTGCCTAGACTCTGTGTGCCCTATTTGATTTCTCCAAATGCCCAGTGGCTTTTGAATACCTTATCATGTCAAAAATTCACAGCTCAGCTTCTCCTCAGCGCCGTAGATGGCCTATTGTGTGTCTCTTCCCCCTAATCTCTTGCCAGTGGCATCTGTGCATCTATCGTCACCCTGCATCTCTACTGAGCCACTCTATAAATAGTTTATTTTAGTTCATTTCAGATTTTTTTTTTATAATTCCATGGGAGATTTGAGAGCTTTCTAATCCACCATCCTGCTGATGACACTCTGTGTGAAAATTTTAAATGGCTCTATTATATTCCATTGCTTCAATGTGTAGTAATTTACCTAGTATTTTCTTTTATTGTTACTTTTAGGAAGAAGTGAATAGAAGCAAAGAAGGTGTTGCAAATCAAAAGCACATAGAGATATCATCTTATACCAGTCAGAATGGCTATTCTTAAAATTCTTGGCTCACTGCAACCTCTTCCTCCTGAGTTTAAGCAATTCTTTCGCCTCAGCCTCTGAGTAACTGGGATTACAGGTATCTACCACCACGCCTGACTAATTTTTGTATTTTTCATGGAGACAAGATTTCACCATGTTGGCCTTGGCTGGTCTCGACCTCCTGACCTCAAGTAATCCTACCGTCTTGGCCTCCCAAAGTGCTGGGATTACAGACATGAGCCACTGTCCCCAGCCTAATCATCATTTTCTAATCTGTCCTCCAATGGGAAAAACAAGTAAAATTATGCCATCTGAGGATTACTCACCAATTTAATTACTTTTTTCTTTATAATATTTAATAAGATCACAAATTATATAAAATAGTTATCAGTTTTTTTGGGAAGTTACTTTTGCTGGTTTCTTATAAAACTGGATGGAAAATACTATTTAAGCACTCTTTGCATATTATAAATTATGTCCAAAGTCCAAACACTGTTAATAATTAATACTCCAATAAACATCATGTCAGAATTTTTCTTTTCCCTTTGAACCTTTGCAGGATTGCCACATCATGAGCACTGCACCTCCATCAGGAATGAAAATTCCTACTACAATTAAAAGAAAGAAGAAACAAAATTAATTTGCTGATGAAAAATGTAAAAAGAGAAATTTTCTTTGGCTTTTTTCTTTATTGAGGGTCATCATTTTTAAAAGAATGCTCACTAGTCATTCTTTTGAATACTGTCTGTGTGAAAGATGTAAGATGGTTGATTATTTCAAATGACAGAAGATAAAGATGAGATATCATCATGGCATTAACAAAAATGAGATTTGTAGCTGGAGTTATTTTATAGTCTAACATGATCACCAATCATTCTATAAATCTGTTTGATGAGTTTATTATATATAGATAGATGGATTCTGAATAGAAAATTTCACTTTAGAAAAAATATTTTATTTTCACTATATAATAATGTACTTAAAAACTCTCTTTGATAAGAAACAAGTGAACCGGATTCAATTTTCTTCACATCTTGTGTAATACACTGTCACTTGCTTCCTCCTACGTTTCATTGATTAGCCCCAGGGAGCAGTGCAACATTGCCTGCCCATTGTTTATATAACCCCTGGATATAAATACCAGATGTTGACAAAGGAAACAGGATCTGCTTGGTGAAAGAAGTGGCATGCAATGGATCCCAAATATCAGCGTGTGGCGCTAAATGATGGTCACTTCATGCCCGTATTGGGATTTGGCTCCTATGCACCTCCAGAGGTAATAATCACATTTTCAGCGTTGAGCATTTAAAAGAGCAAAGCTAGCATAAGTGGACGATGACCTGGGTTGTTCAGCTTTGTGTTTCCGTTACTCTGCGTGACTCATCTGGTCTGTCTTACTAGGCTAGAGCTATTCTACGTTCAAAGAGAAAAGGTAGTCAATGTTTGGTTTGCACTGAGGTCTATCATACAGTAATTTACTGCTTATTTTGTACACTGTTTTTATCTGCTGTTTCTGTGTATTGCCCAGCTTGGCAGAATATATAAAACTCAACGGTGAAGAACACTGCCTGATAGTTCCCTTTGTAGGAGATGACTGCAGTGAGAATGGTTTCTCTATTTATTTCTGTGGTTGCAGAAATCTTTTATTCTTCCACTAGGCATGATCAAAAGAAACCTTTGTGGCAACAGCGCCTGAAGATGGGGTGTATGAAAACCGCTGGGATAGTATTGCTGAGCTGCCGCGTGGCCTTGAGCATGGCACAGTAATACTGGTCCTGGACTTAATACCCTGTACAACTCTCAACTCTAGGAAAATTACCTGACGGGAAAAATAACTTTAAGAAATTTGTATCAAAATGATAGGGGTGGTCCTCCGACACAGAAGTGGGCAAAATGGAGACTTTTTTTCTAGACTGAGCTATTTCTACATTGGAGGAAAACTTGTATTCCAAGACTACTAAGTGTGTTAACAAGGACTAGTCACATAAAATTTGTGTCTAAATTTGGTCAACTATATGTTGTAAGAATTTACAGAGAAACACCCTGAAGACCATTAACAGGAGTGGTTCACTTTGTAATGCAAATTGGCATGAAGAGGAAGTAAGGAAAAACACAACACAGAAGCTCTAGCTTTGGTAAACCTTGAGTGCTTGCACAGCAAAGAGAAGATCAGGGCTGGTATAGGGGAAGGCAGTGAGACCTGGCATCTAGTTCCTTTTAATTTCACTAGAAAAAGAAAGCTTCCAAAATATTTATATTAAAATAGAAAATTGTTTCATTTATGGTTTTGTCATTTAAAAAACATACCTTTAAAATCTTTATCCAAATTTGGTAGATAAGTCAATAATTTTAAATTTCACTGAAATTATATCATTCCTAAAAGAGTTGATCTTATTTGTTAGGGATAAAGCGTACTTTACTAATCTCTCACAGGTTGCAGTTAATTTCTTAGGTATAAATCTACATACTTGGAGTATATGTCTTTACTCCTAGTATTTAGTTCTGTCATGCACACAGAATGGCTAATGACTGTGTAGAAAGGAGACAACACAATAGACTGCCACCCGTAGATGCACCTGTTTTCAAAGTTGGAGCCTGGCTGGTATCTGAGAAGTTGAACTTCTCACCCTTTCCTAACTGATAAGGGTGCTGTCTATAATTAACTGGTTGTACAAAGTGTAGGGTTTCTGTATACCTGCTTTCTTTACAAGACTGGAAGTTTGGTGGGTGCTATACAGACTGGGCCAATGTAACCAGCACCCAGTTAAAATCTTGGGAATTGAGTCTCCAAATAGCATCCCTTGTAGTCAACATTGCTGGAGGAAGTCAGTGTGTTTCCTGCAACATCACTGAGAGACTAATCATAGGAACTTACACTGTATTCTTACCATAATTTCTTCCGTGTGCCTTTTTCCATGTGTTAATTTCACTATATTAAAAAATAATTAGAAGTGGGTATGCAGTGACTCATGCCTGTAATCCCAGCACTTCGGTAGGCCAAGCCAGGTGGATCCCTTGAGCTCGGGAGTTTGAGCCTGGGTAACATAGTGAAATCCCCTCTCTACTAAAAATACAAAAACTTAACCGGGCATCATGGTGCCTGTCTGGTCCTAGCTATTTGGGAGGCTGAGGTGGGAGGATCACTTGAGCCTAAGGTGAAGAAGGTGGGGGTGGGGGCAGATTTTGTAGTGAGCCAAGGTTGTGCCACTTTATACCAGCCTGGGTGACAGAGTGAGACTCTGTCTCAAATAATAACTATAAGTTGAGTCTTGTTAATTTTTCCAACAAATGACTAAATCTGAAGTTTTTGTTGGGAAACTTCATGCTAGTGATTAACCAGTAATTGCCTGGGACTGAAGAGGTCCAGGGATACCCAATCTTTATTACTAACTAGGAAAGACTAAAGCAAATTGGGATGGGTTTATCACTCCACATGTAGAACTAACCCAAGACACGAGGATAATGTGATTTTTGTGACAGTCATTGCTGGTGCCTGAACTACTGATACGGAAGTGCTGGGAAGGGAAGAGCGTGGTCTCTTTAAATTATACAGAAGCGCGGAAGGGAAGTGCTGGGTGGAGGAGGATGTGGTCCCTGGCTAGGGCTCCACCTCCAGGGACCTAGGTGAGGACAGGCATTTTTGTTTTCCTGCCCAAATGTTTCATTTCCCAAGACCACCCTGGCCTGCCATGCCCCCATCCTGTGCCTGTAAAAACCCCAAATCTTAGAAAGACAGAGACAGAACCGGATGGACTTTGAGAGGAGCACATCCGGCAGAGGAACACACACAGGCAGCTGGACCTCTAGAGAAACGCACCAAAAGGCACCAGCACGCCAGCGGGACACCTACTGGCAGAAGCAGAATGACGCTGAATTTGACTGGGGCAGTCAAAAGACAATCCAGGCTGCTGATAGGGGAAAACGTTCCTACTCCATCCCCTTCTGACTTCCCCCAAGCTACCTCCACTCTCCACTCAATAAAACCCTGCACTCATTCTCCAAGCCCAGGTGTGATCCGATCCTTCCGGTGCACCAAAGCGAGAATCCAGGATACAGAAAGCCCCTCTGTCCTTGCAACAAGGTAGAGGGTCTAATTGAGCTGGTTAACACAAGCCTGTAGATGGCAAAACTAAAAGAACAAAACTGAAAGAGCACCCTGTAACACATGCCCAGTGGGGCTTCAGAAGCTGTAAACATCCACACCTAGACACTGCTGCGGGCTCGGAGCCCCACACCCTGCCCCCATCTGTATGCTCCCCTAGAGGTCTGAGCAGCGGAGCACTGACCACACCCCCATCGCACACCCTGTGAGGACAAGGGAACTTTTCCTGTTTCACTACCTCTCAAGCACATTAATCACCAACTACTACTTTCCATTGCTCCTTCAGGTTCCGAGGAACAGAGTTGTGGAGGTCACCAAATTAGCAATAGAAGCTGGCTTCCGCCATATTGATTCTGCTTATTTATACAACAATGAGGAGCAAGTTGGACTGGCCATCCGAAGCAAGATTGCAGACGGCAGTGTGAAGAGAGAAGACATATTCTACACTTCAAAGGTACCGTGCCTATGATGAGCATGCATGCACACGTATTTAATGTGATCGTGTGGAGATGACAATTCTGTAACTGGTTCAGTAGTTGTGGGTGAATTGTGCTTATTAGTTCCAATTTATTCACACATATTCATGTATTAAAACTGAAATAAAAGGCAGAGAATGATGATGCCTTTCTCGTCATTATTGTGTTCAAATTTATTACTTGAAAATTACTTTAAGTGTTGAGCCTCAGCTCAGTGTAATTTTTTTATGAATTCATATTTTAATTTCAATAGGTTTGGGAATACAAGTTGATTTTGGTTACATGAATCAATTCTACAGTAGTGATTCTGAGATTTAAGTGAAGCTGTCAGGCGATCACTGGACATTGTATTCAATATGTAGGCTTTTATCCCTTACCTTACTCCCAACCTAACCCACACTGAGTCTTGAAAGTTTATTATATAATCTGTACGTCTATACATCCTCATAGCTTAGTTCCCACTTAAAAATGAGAATGTACAGTGTTTGGTTTTTCATTCCTGAATTACCTTACTTAGAATAATGGTCTCAAGCTCCATCCAAGTTCCTGCAAAATATATTATTTCATTCCTTTTTATATACACACTGTTCCATGATGTATATATATATACCACATTTTCATTATTCATACATTGGTTGATGGGCACCTGGATTGGTTTCATATTTCTGCAATTGTGAATTGTACTGCTATAAACATGTGTATGTGTCTTTTTCATATAATGAATTTTCTTTTTGTTAGATACCAGTATTGGGACTGCTGAATCAAATGGTTGATCTACTTTAAGTTCTTTAAGGAATCTCCAATACTGTTTTCCGTGATTATAGTCATTTACATTCCTACCAGCAGTGTAAAAGTGTTCTCTTTTTACTATATTCATGCCAACTTCTGTTTTTTCAACTTTTTAATTATAACCATTCTTGCAGAAGGTGATGTGATATTGTGATTTTAATTTGTACTTCCCTGATTATTAGTAATGTTGAGCATTTTTTCATATGTTCTTTGGCTGTTTGTATACTTCTTTTGAGAAATGTCTATTCATGTTATTTGCCTACTTTTCAACAGGGTTGTTTTTATCTTGGTGACTTAAGTTCCTTGTAGATTCTGGATAATAGTCCTTTGCTGGATACATAGTTTGCAAAAATTTTCTCCCATTCTGTAGGTTGTCTGTTTACTCACATAATTATTTCTTTTGCTGTGCAGAATCTTTTCAGTTTAATTAGGTCCTATTTATTTTTGCTTTTTGTGCATTTGCATTTTGGGGTCTTAGAGATAAATTCTTTGCTGACGCCAACGTACAGGCCAATGTAAAGAAGAGTTTTTCCAATGTTATCTTCTAGAATTTTTATGGTTTCAGGTCTTAGACTTAAGTCTTTGATCCGTCTTGAGTTGGTTTTTGCATATGGTGAGAGATGGCTTCCAGTTTTATTCTTCTACACGTGTCTTGACAGTTGTCCCAGGACCATTTATTGAATAGGGTTATTTTCCTTAATTTATGTTATTGTTTGCTTTGTCGAACGAAGATTAGTATTTGGCCTAATTTCTGGGTTCTCTGTTTCATTGATCTAAGTTCCTATTTTTTATACCAGTACCATGCTGTTTGTGTAACTATAGCCATGTAGTATAATTTGAAGTCTGGTAATAAAATGCCTCCAGATTTCTTCTTTTTGCTTAGTATTGCCTTGGCTATTGAGGCCCTTTTGTGGTTTCATATGAATTTAGAATATGGTCATTTTCATACTATTGATTCTATCCATAAGCATGGGATGTGTTTCCATTTGTTTATGTATCATTTCCTTTAGCAGTGTTTTGTATTTTTTTGTAGAGATCTTTCAACTCTTTGGTTGAGCATATTCCTAGGGATTTTATTTGCAGCTGTTGTAAATGGAATTCTTAATTCAACTCTCAGCATGGTTGTTGTTGAATAGCAGTGCTACTAATTTCTGTAAACTGATTTTGTAACCTGAGACTTTATTGAATTTGTCAGATAGAGGAGTCTTATTGGATGAGGCTTTGGGGTTTTGTAGGTATATGATCATATTATTGGCAAACAGCAATGCTTTGGCTTACTCTTTTCCAATTTGGATGCCCTTTATTTTTTTGTCTTGCCTGATTACTCTGGCTAGGACTTCCAGTATTACGTTTAACAGAAGTGGTAAAAATTGGGTATCCTTAGCTTGTTCCAGTTCTCAGGGGAATGCTTTCAATTTTTCTCCATTCAGTATGATGTTGGCTATGGATTTGTTATACATGCTTTTTATGCCTAGTTTGTTGAGGATTTTTAATCATAAATGGATTCTGGATTTTATTGTTTTTTTTTTTTGCATCTATTGAGATGATCATATGGTTTTGGTTTTTAATTCTCTTTGTGTGATATATTTATTGGCTTGTGTATATTATAGCATCCTTGCACCTATGGGATGAAACCCATGGATCATGATATATTTTTGATGTGCTGATGGACTTGGTTAGCTAGTATTTTCTTGAGGATTTTCACATCTGTGTTCATCAGGGAGATTGGTCTACAGTTTTCTTTTTCTGCTTTTTGTTTTTGTTTGTTATGTCCTTTCCTGGTATTGGTATTAGGGTGATGCTGGCCTCATAGAATAATTTAGGCAGGATTCCCTCTTTCTCTATATTTTTGAATAGTTTCAGTAGGATTGGCACCAATTCTTCTTTGAATGTCTGGCAGAATTCAGCTGTGAATCCACCTGAACCTGGACTTTTTGGTGGCAATTTTTTTGTTGTTGTTGATTCAATCTTGCTGCTTGTTATTGGTCTTTTCTGGGTTTCTGTTTCTCCCTGATTTAATCTAGGAGGGTTGTATGTTTCCAGGAATTTATCCATTTACTCTAGATTTTCTAGTCTGTGCACATAAAGGTATCCTTAGTTGTCTCAAATGATTGTTTTGTATTTCTGTGGTATCATTTATAATGTGCCCAGTTTCATTTCTAATTGAGTGCTTATTTCGATTTCTCTTCCTTTCTTGGTTAATCTCACTAATGGTCTCAATTTTGTTCATCTTTTCAAAGAACCAGCTTTTAGCTTCATTGATCTTTTGTAATTTTTTTATTTCAATTCATTTAGTCCTGCTTTGATCTTCGTCATTTCTATTCTTCTGCTAGCCTGGGTTTTAGTTTCTTCCTGTTTCTCTAGTTCATAGAGGTGTGACATTAGATTGTGAATTTGTGCTGTTTCAGATTTCTTGATGTAGGCATTTAATGTTATGAACTTTCCTCTTAGCACTGCTTTTGCTATATCCCAGAGGTTTTGATAACTGTGTCAATATTATCATTTATTTCAAAAAATTACTTGTCATTTTGATTTTTTTAACCCAAAAACATTTGAGAACAGATTAATTTCCATGTATTTTTGTAGTTTTGAGGGTTCCTTTCAGAGTTGATTTCTAGTTTTATTCCACTTAGTTCTGAGAAGATACTTGATATAATTTGGATTTTCTTAAATTTATTGAGACTTGTTTTGTGGCCTATCATATGGTTTATCTTGGAGAATGTTCTATGTGCTGATAAGAAGAACATATTCTGCAACTGGTGAGTAGAATGTTCTGTAAACATCCATTAAGTCCATTTTTTAAGAGTACAATTAAATCCATTGTTTGATTTTCTGTCTCAATTATTTGACTAGTGCTGTACAGTAGAGTATTGGGTCCCCCACTATTATTGTGCTGCTATCTTATTTATTAGGTCTGGTAGTAATCGTTTGATAAATCTGGGAGCTCCAGTGTTAGGTGCATATAAATTCAAGATTATAATAGCTTCCTGTTGGATTGATTCCTTTGTCATTATATAATGACCTTGTCTTTTTTTTTTTTTTTACTATTTTTGCCTTAAAGGCTATTTTGTCTGATGTAAGAATAGCAACTCATGCTCACTTTTGGTTTCCATTTTTGCATGGAATCTTTTTTTTCACCCTTTTATCTTGAGTTCATACAAATCCTGATGTGTTAGGTGAGTCTCTTGAAGATAGAAGGTATTTGGTTTGTGGTTTATTATCTATTCTGCCATTTTGTATCTGCTAAGTGGAGCACTTAGGTCACTTATGTTCAATGTTAATATTGAGATAGGAGGCACTATTCTATTTATCATTTTAGTTATTATATACTTTGGTTTTTTGTGTTATTGTTTAATAGGCTTTGTAAGTTTTGTGCTTTCAGGAGGTTCTACTGTGGTGCATAATGAGCTCTTGTTTCCAGATTTGTAACTCCTTACAGAATTTCTTGTAGTGCTGGTTTGATAGTGGCAAATTCCTTATGCATTTGTCTGAAAATGACCATTTCTCCTTCATTTACGAGATGTAGTTTTGCTAGATACAAAATTCCTAGCTGACAATTGTTTTGTTTAAGGGGGCTAAAGATAGGACCTCAATCCCTTCTAGCTTGTAAGGTTTCTGCTGAGAAGCCTCCTGTTAAGTCTGATAGATTTTTCTTTATAAGTTACTTGATGCTTTTGTCTCATGCTTTTAGAATTATTTCCTTCATGTTGACTTTAGATAGCTTCATGACCTTGTGCCTTGGTGGTGATATTTTTGCAATGAATTTCCCAGGATTTCTTTGGATATCTAAATCTCTAGCCAGGCCAGGAAAGTTTTCCTTAATTATTCCAAATAACTCAATCAAATTTACAAGAAAAAAACAAACAACCCCATCAAAAAGTGGGCAAAAGATATGAACAGACACTTCTCAAAAGACATTCATACGGCCAACAGACACATGAAAAAATGCTCATCATCACTCGCCATCAGAGAAATGCAAATCAAAACCACAATGAGATACCATCTCACACCAATGAGAATGGCAATCATTAAAAAATCAGGAAACAACAGGTGCTGGAGAGGATGTGGAGAAATAGGAACACTTTTACACTGTTGGTGGGACTGTAAACTAGTTCAACCATTGTGGAAAACAGTGTGGCAATTCCTCAAGGATCTAGAACTAGAAATACCATTTGACCCAGCCATCCTATTACTGGGGATATACCCAAAGGATTATAAGTCATGCTGCTATAAAGACACATGCACACGTATGTTTATCGCGGCACTATTCACAATAGCAAAGACTTGGAATTAACCCAACTGTCCATCAGTGACAGACTGGATTAAGAAAATGTGGCATATATACACCATGGAATACTATGCAGCCATAAAAAAGGATGAGTTCATGTCCTTTAGTAGGGATATGGATGCAGCTGGAAACCATCATTCTCAGCAAACTATCACAAGAACAGAAAACCAAACACCGCATGTTCTCACACATAGGTGGGAATTGAACAGCTCACCTGCCAGGCTGACAGGAAAGCTATCCACCTCCCAGCCTCTTGTGTCCCAGTGTTCTGGATATTGAGATCAGACAGGCACCACTTTTCGTCTGTAGGAACGCAAGTGTTCCAAGTAGGGAGAAATCATGACTGCCGCTCATGGAAGCCTGCACCTGGGAAGTGCTCCTCCTGTGGGGATGCAGTCATGCTGAAATGTTACAGGAAGGCTGGCTATAGGTATACCAATGCTGAGCTCCTCTGGGAGAAGCCCTAGCTTTGTCTGCAGTGATGGACAAGAGGGGAAAGACTACCCCTTTTCTAAGACCTTTCATGAGCACCAAGGCTGCTTGACTGTTGTGAGTAGAGGTTGAGACTTTCCCTACTGAACCCAGCACTGCAATTATGTGTCTGCTGAAACTTTCCACCTATGGAAAGATGTGAGACTCAAGGCCTGCTCTCTGGATTATTTTGTCCCACGGAAAGTTCCCTTGATGTGATGCGATCCCCTTACCCTGAGAGCCAGACTACAGTGATTGTTATTGCTCTTCTGGGTCTAGCCACCCAGCAGTGAGGTTGCCTCACTCTGGACTAGTGCTGGGGAATATCTGCAAGGGATTCGGTGATGTGGCCTGTCTTCAAGTCTCCCAGCAGTGGGTACCAGCTCCAGCTGTCATGGGGAAGGCAGGGAAGTGACATAGACTCTGAGATGTCTTGATTATAGATAGCCCTGATGTGCTGGCTTTCTCAAATGTTGGTTATAATAGTAGCAAACTTGTCCCATGGCCACACTCAGGACTTCTGTCTGGCCAGGTAGTTGCAGGCCATGGTGGGAGCTGAGATCATGCACAAGTTTTCTCCTAGCTGGGTGCAGTGTTAGTCTACCTAGACATTCTGTGATGAACTGTGTTGGTTGGCCTCCAACCAAGAGATGGCACTTGCAAAAGAGCACCAGCTGTGGTGGTAGCAGTGAGATTTGAACTTCCCTTATGTTGCCCTGGGGAGGTATTCTGGTTTCTCAGGTGACGAGCAGGGCCATAAATTTTCTAAAAATTTATTGTGTGTTACGCTACCAGGGTGGGTGGAGGGGCACAACCAAGTTTGGTCCGGGTTAGGCAAGTATGCACTCTGACTTTCTGGAGACTAGCTACAGCTGCTGTGAGCATCACGGGATGGTGCTCAGACTACTGGGGTAATGTTCCAAAGGGGAGCATAACTGCCTTTGCTGTACAAAAGCATTCACACATGGAGTAGGGAGTAGCTAGTGGCAGTAAGCCTCACCAAGATCGCACGCAGTTAGAAGCAGATCCCAGTTCCACAGTGCTCTAAGAGCACTGAACTAAGTTCCAAGCAGCCTGTGCTCAGAACTCAGACTTGCCATGGGCCATAAGCTTTTCCTGTGGAGACAGCAACTTTGGCTTTCAAGCTATGTCCTGCCCATCCACCTGCAAGTCCAGGTGCCAGGCTTCTGCATTTGTCTGCAGCACACTTCCTGCTTTCCTCCAGAGTTTTGGCCAAAGGAGCTCATCCCTACTTGAGATAATATTAATATCATGAAATTCAGCTGGGAGCCTCTTTCGATCTGTGGCATGTGCCTGAACTCCCCAAGTTCAGATTGGCTGACTTCCCTGATGTCCCCTGTGAGATAAAATAAGAAATGGCTTCCTTCAGTCCATGCTGCAGATTGGTAATACCCTTGTGGCAGTTGTCACTGCTGCTTCTACTTTATTTCTCACCTCTCCCTAAATCAGCTCTGAGCCTGAGTAGGGTTAAGGCCTTACACCCATGGCCTGAATTTTCAGAGTCCCTGGTGGGGAAGGGTATACTGGAGGCAGTTTCTCCCCTTCTCACACTCTGGGCACTTAGTTTTTCATCTGTCTCACAGTGTAGGCTGCAGCCTGCCACTTCTTTCAAAGGGTCTGTGGATTCTTTCAGTTTTCCTATTCAGTTACCGCATTGCTTCCTGGAAAAAAGTTTGCATTGTGAATCTCTACACGCTATTCTGTCTTTCCAAGTGGGAGAGTCATGCTAACACTGCCTCTGATCCACGATCTTGGAAACAAAAAACTAAAATCAGGATGGTTTAACCTAGACTAGAGATTAATAGTGACCTATAATCATATTTTAGTTTTTCTTATGTCTGGGATGACTTTCTTCAGTATCTTATTATTCTGAATCTCAATTGTCGTTTTCATTGAAGAGTGTGGGAGGCAGGGAGATACAACATAAGCGAGCCCTATGAGTGTGAAACAACAGATAACAAAAGTATCTTGAATGATGCTCAACACTTGTCAGCATGTAACAACTTTTTGCTCTTCAGTTTCTAAACAGGAATACTTATTCTTAGCCATCGGGTTCAATGGATGAGAAAATTAGACTATTCAAATGCTTTACAATTTCTCTCAAACACAGTTCAGATAATCAGAATTATTATTTGATACCAATTTTTACCTATTGAAAATTTTAATTCCATTGTTCAGTAGTTGTACTAACTATATATGCAATATAGAATAGCTTTCATATGGGTAGGTCATATCAAAATAAACAAAGGGAATATTTTTTGCCAGGGGTCATCAGTTTGGAACGGTGAAAAATGTCTAAATATTAGGTGAAGCAAACTAATAAAATTGGCTCATGTTTTTATTCAACATCAATCCTTTATTTTACCATGCAGCTTTGGTGCACTTTCTTTCGACCACAGTTGGTCCAACCAGCCTTGGAAAGCTCACTGAAAAAACTTCAACTGGACTATGTGGACCTCTATCTTATTCATTTCCCAATGGCTCTCAAGGTAAGGAATCTTGAGATCAAACTTCTTTCTCTTCTGTTGTCAACATGACCATCCTTTATGATGATGGTTGAATTAAGCTTCTAAGGAGGATGTAGGTATTATTACATGGGAGAAGAGTCCCAAGTATAATCTCTAACTTGCTTTATTGAATAAATAGTGAAACTTTCTTGTCTAATATATGATGACAACAGAAGACAGTACATCAACCTCAAAAGCCTCTGCTTCAAAAACTCAAGAAAATAATGATAGCCACCTTTAAGACCCTGTCTTAATTGGGGTTCCTAGGTCCATCTCTTAGGATGTTCACAGATATAGAGATTCATGCAGCTGGGGTGCCAAAAAAAAAAAATCACTGCACATGTGGTACAGTGAGTTTCCATTATCTCTCCCCATTATAAGCTGAAGTAGATTTGGTGGAACTCACTCTGGGTGAGTCTTAAAAAGGAAACCATAATGGGACCTGAGAATCGTTGCCTTCTTCACTAAAGCTTGTTTCACAATGGAGTTTGTAGCTTTGCTTAGTCATGAATTTCGGTTGTGCATAACTTTTAAATTTATAGGGAAAAACTCAGGCTAGATTATTTAAAAAAGAGTTTATTGCATGATGCAAATGGGTAGTCACTGTCATGAATAAAGATTTGACCTAGACTCTAAAAATGTGACCTTTTCTCCATAATTATCTATGAACTCCAAGAGGTTTTCTGGATTTTTGTCCCAGCCTTTTTCATTGTTGGCAATGATAGCTTTGAGGCAGCTCAAGGCTCATGGTGATTAACATAAGAGAGCCTCCATGGGTCTTACAACTTTCAAATACATATTGAAAAGAACTTCCATTTGACCATGTTTGGTTTAAGATCCTGCTCATGTACTATCAAATCTTCAGGGGGATAAGGAACTCTTATTGTATCACCTGGATCAAGAATACAATCCCTTATTGCTGGATATCAAGGACTTTTTGAGTCAAAGAGTGGCATTTCCCCAGAGAAAATTATAGGAGCAGATAAAAG